ATATATACACACACCTGTATGTATGTCTGTATGTATATTTTGCACTATTACAATATTTTTTATCAATTGAATTTATTACAATACTAAACATACAATACATATTTTATATATAAATAGTTATGTTTATTATACTAAATATATACACATACACAGATCTTATATAATATTTATACCCTCAGACCTTAAAAGGTACTGCCCCAGTGACAGCTTTCATACCTTTATTTCTAAAAGTGTATGTATGTAAACAGTTTTTTTTCTATTCCTGTTATTTTCCCATACTGACATTACATAAAGATAAATGCATTTACACATCCCTTTTACATATCACACATCACAGGTTTGTAATGGGTATGGGAGCTGAACACGCAGCAACCCATAACAAACCACACATATTGATTCACACTGAGATCTAGAGATAAGAGATCTTTTAGTTACTTTTTTTCCTGTCCTAAACAGTGATGGATAACCAGTGTTATGCACTGGTAGAATTCCCTGACAAGGGAACAGATGTTGTCCCTGAAAATTGGCTTTTGGGTCAAAAATGTTATTGGCCAAATTACAATCCTACAAAAATAAAGACAGCTGTGAAGAAAAAAGAAGCTGTCAAAGACGGATGGAAACTATTTGAGCCTGTTCGTCTACTTAAAAAGTGTGGTAAGAGTTGTATGCAAATATTAAATTATTTATTATCTCCATGAACTTGTTACTATTCAAGATTCACTGAAGATTTTTATTTATTTTAAATAAATATTATTTATTGTCTATATATTATTAGATACCTTAGAGAAAGCACAGAAGATGCTAAAAATGTATGTGGAGTCCAATCTCCCTACATCTGAATTAACTTCTGATGAAGAGGGAAGTGGAAACAAAATAAAAAGAAAGAAAAGGTTAACTTTATATACTAAAAAAACTATTAAAGTGATGTCTTATTGATAACTAATTTGAGTGTTTCACTTCACAGGCCTAATCCACGATTTATTGACTTCTCAGAAAACGATTCTGATCAGGACATAACATCACATAAATTGAGGCTTGCTGCAGCACCCCCAATAGATTTTACAGGTAATGAACTTTTTTATTGTAACTATTAATTGTTACTTTTTTCAGAAGTAACAATATCTTGTTAAGGGTGATAAAGTAATTATAATAGAAAAAGTTACATTAAAGTTACATTGCTAGTAATAATATAGTAGCATTTCTGTTTTAGTCTTTTTAACATCCTGCTCATTCTGACATTTTTGTAGCTATGAATGCTTCAGCAAATCTGGCTTCAGGACAGACTGATTCAGGCTGCCATGGTAAAAATGCACATTCCCCCCAGTAAATTCACTAATTTTCTGAATACTCCACAAGTTATTCCCCAGTTTAGGCATCTTTTCCTCTTTAAGCTGCAGTCACATTGGGCTTTTCCTCGCATAGACTCCCATTCATACGCACGCGAATGCGTCAGACCGGAAACGCAGGGTCATGCGTTAAGTTTCGCAGGTTGCTGCGGTGCAAAGTTCAAGCTTGGTGAACTCTGACCTGCGAAATCGCATCACTTGACTGCGTGAGACCAATCGAGGATTAAAGCTACGGTCACATTAGAGATTGAGCATGCCAAATTCTGTCGTGCGGCACTGCGAAAAGGGACGGGATTAAACAAGTTTATTAGACATTTTAAAAAAAAGCGAGCGATTGCTTCATGTTTTAAAATTCTGTCCAGGGATGTCATGCTTTGATCTTTTGATTGTTTTTCTCTAAACATAAATTTTAAACATTGACCAATGGCTTGCTTTTTTAAATGTCTAATCATCTAGTTTAATAGCTACTGCCCCTTTTCACAGCGCCGTACGACAACATTTTGCATGCTCAAACTCTAGTGTGACCACAGCAAGGCTTTCTAAAAATATCAGTGCAGGTGTGTTGAGGCAAGTTGGAGCTACAATCTGCAGAACACCGGCCCTTTAGGGGTTTGGGCACCCCTACCATAAGTTAAAACATGAGCGCATGCATTGAACACCACAAGTTCTCTTTCGTGATATTTAAAACCATCAATAAACCTTAAACACTCTTTTTTTTTACCTTTTAACCTATTTTCTCTATTAGCCTATTGATTTTTCATAATCATTGGAGGCCGAAATTGAAAATTACTTTTGATTAATTGCACAGTCCTGTAATATTAGCTATTATGGCGAAGTCGTAACTAACTTAACTTTAAATGACTTACACTTTGAAACGTTTCTCCCTACATCCAAGTCTTGCACAAGTAGCTCTAATGAATGTCCTGGAAGTTTTGGCGTCAGTCACTTGAGGCAGGTAAAAGCAACCAATCGCATTGTCTCAGTGTTTGGGAAGGGGAGTACTCCCGTCGGTTAACCCTTTTGGAACCTTTTTATCTTAATTGTTAACAGAGTATTATTTTATTTTGAATGCGATTAAATTATTGGGTGGAACATATCAATGATTGGTTAATATTTGTGGGATCTTGTCCAGAAAAAAACATGCATTTTTATTTTTTAGAACTAAAAAAACTTTCATTTGTTTTTAGTCAATCCAAAAAGAGGACATATTGAGCACCATGGGACAAGCCATGTACAACACCAAGAGTGTTGGGTAAGTAAGTTACTTAAAATGTATATATTTTTTATTACTAATTGCATTATTAAAATTGGTTTCACATTATTTTCGTTGTTATTTTGATTAATTTTCTATGAATTAATTAGAAATTAATTGTATTATTCAGTCAAACATAGTCTTATATCTTTAAAAATTAAGTTTTTTTAATAGCACACATAACAATATTTAGCTAGCAAACAGAATTACTATGCAAAAAAGTAATGTATGTATATATATATATATATATATATATATATATATATATATATATATATATATACATACATAGGGTATATATATATATTTTTTTTTTATATATAAATATATCAAAACAACAAATTTTTTCGAAACAATGACTTCATATTCCATACTTAAAATGTGTGTTCATTCTTAAATTTCTAAATCAAATTAATTTATTTAAAATAATAAAAAAGAAAATTATTTAGTTTTTACTCTGCTATATTTCCAATATCAAATTTGTAACTTTTTATGTTTTTCATATAAAAATGTTTTTTCATATGAAAATAAGATAATTCTGTGAAGCATACTTATATAAAAAACTACTGTCAAATTTATTTGCAATATTTTAGGCAGGTATATTATAAGTAACTGCAATAAAATTTCTACAAAATTAATAGTAATCTTCATTTTCTCAGCCTTTAAATGAAATAATTATAGTCACTAATTACTTTGCAATTGCACCAAACTCACCAGGACCCAGCCTACCTTGCACACCAGAACACACAATATAATGAAACACACCAGGTCACAGCCTACCGAGCACATGAAGACACTCACGAAGGACACCAGGACAGACACCATCAAGCACACCAGGACAGACACCACCAATCCCACCAGGACACATATAGAGCTCAGCTGGACACAAGATATAGTCCTCACTTGGACCCACAGTACAGAGCTCACCAAAGTACATACTACAGAGATCACCAGGGAACACTGAGTGAACTGGTTAATGGTAATGATTTAAGCAAATACATCTACACTACACCTTTATGTTAATTTCATGCTCATTCCTCACTTTGTAATGCATTTTATTTAGTTTGGACTTAAACAGGCTAAACTGTATCCACTAATACATCTTGACATCCATGTTCCTTGCATTTTTAAAGAGCGATACATGGACCAAACCTCAAGTCAGACTGCCTCCGCCCTTGTTCCCAGTGGTATGTTTTTCTAAGTGTAACCCCTCAAAGTTTATTAGAGATTGTTTCACCACATTTCTAATCATAATAGTTTTAATAACTCATTTCTAATAACTGATGTATTTTATCTTTATCATGATGACAGTTCATCATTTTTCATTAGATATTTTTCAAGACACTTCTATACAGCTTAAAGTGACATTTACTAGCTTAACTAGGTTAATTAGGTTAACTAGGCAGGTTAGGGTAATTAGGCAAGTTAATGTGTGATGGTTTGTTCAGTAGACTATCAAAAATTAGCTTAAAGGGGCTAATAATATTGACCTTAAAATGTTTTTTTTTTAAACTGCTTTTATTCTAGCCAAATAAAACAAATAAGACTTTTTCCAGAATAAAAAAAATATTATTTTATACTGTTTATATATTATACTGTGAAAATATCCTGAATCTGTAAAACATAATTTGGGAAATATTTAAAAAAAGAAAAAAAAATCAAAGGGCCTAAAAATTCTGTCTTTAACTGTATGTATATATATATATATATATATGTGTGTGTATATGTGTGTATGTATGTAGTGTTTTGGTTTGTTTGTTTAATCTTAGTCTTTCAATTACTAATGACAGAAATTAGCTTGAGTTTCTCCCTCTACAATATTTATTAACTAATTGATTAATTGTTTTCTTTGCAGAGTTGTCTCCTTTTAAAAGGAACGTTTTGAAAATTTTATTGGAAATAAAAAATGAGCAACGAGAACAGAGGGCAATGATACAGCAATTACAGGGAGCGCCAATACCCATTCCACTTCAAGCCGAAAGCAGCTTTGCTTTCCCAGCACAGTCACTGGATGACTTTGATGCCCTTGAGAAGATGCTGCAAAATGATGCTGAGACAAACAGATTGGTATGTCTAGTAATGTAGTTACAATTATGTTTCACTTTTTTTAGGTCTAGGACACACTAGATCAGGGATAACCAAACTTGTTCCTGGAGGTCCGGTGTCCAGCAGATTTGAACTCCAACCCTATAATTAAACACACCTGAACAAGCAAATCAAGGTCTTACTAGGTATACTTGAAACATCCAGGCAGGTGTGTTGAGGCAAGTTGGAGCTAAACCTTGCACAATAGTATCTGGATGCAGCTTTTTATGATGTAAGTTGAGATTGCATCACTTAGCGATGCAATGTCAGACACAATGCACTCAATGGAGTGAGTGACGTCACTGTGACAGGTAGGGTTAAGAGTGGGGTTAGGTGAGCACATTAAAAAGCATTGATGCAGCTCAGATTGCACTGCACCAGTTCTGCATTCAGACCCCTCTCACCCTGCAGGGCACCGGATCTTCAGTAACGAGATTGGTAATCCTTGCACATGATGTTCATATCTTTAAATATTATTTGAAAATGTTAATACATTTTTAAATAATAGTTTAAGATTTGAACATATAATAACATTAGTAAATGTTACATTAGTAAAAACAAAAGTTTACTAATCCCATTAGCCTATTAGTTCCTCATCACTACAGCAAGAGTGCTCTTAGGATTTTGTTAATGTGGTGGCATGGGACAGAGGAACTAATAGGCTCATGGGATTAGTAAACATTTTATATTTAATAGCCATTTGATCCTTAATCAAATGCTAAGTTTTATCTTCATCATAATCTACACTACTACACCATAAAGCATCTAAGAAACCTGTTTTGATATATTTGCATTAAAATTATGGTTTGTTTATCTAGATTCTTTTGGTAAATTTGTGAACAAAAGTTATTGATGATTGAAGTCAACAGATAATGCCAAAAATAAAAAATAAAAATGTCAAGCAACCTCTCAGATATCAATCAAAATTTGCAATATTCCATCTAGATAACTTAACTGAATGTTTTGTCTGGTTTTGTGTGGATTTAGATGAACATTTATGTTAATGCTGATGTTGATTCTCATTAGATTTGCCAGCTGTCACTACTTGGTGGACTCAACTTGCAGGACACTGTGAGACGCATGTTAAGCCATGTTTTAACAAACAGGTTGGCATCCCATTTTAATTGGGCTGGACGTGGAAAGAAAAGGAGCTTTGAAGCCTCAAATTTGCAAAAGACAATGTTCCGTAAGTAATAGTTGGTTTTCTATACAAACAATCTCTAAAAAATGTAGACATGATTAAATATATTAGATAAATGTGAAAAAAATAACACAATGTTAGTTTTTGTTCTTTTTTTACTTTCAGGTGCATTAAGAAATACTTCCCAGGGGAAAGAAGCATCAAAAACAGACTTTAGCGAAGTAGTAAAAAAATGGTTACGTTACGCTCCAGACAGAGATGGTGGCAGTGGACGACAATAAGTTCCAAAATGAGATCTTGCTAATCAGTTTGTTTTGTTTTGTTGTGTTGACTGTTGACAGTTTCATCTAATTTTCAAAATTTTTAAATGACATTAAATTTAAGAAAATTTTTAAATAAAAAAGTGTATTAGCATCTTATTGTCAATAAAGGTGTAAGTCTTTTAGGTGTTCAGTTTTAAACATAATAAAATTAATAATATTAGATTGTTTTGGTGAGATTTCCATTAAAATTCCTGTAGGCCTGTAACATTCAGCTATATGAGGTAGGCTACAATTATATTGTTTTAATGCTTGTAATTAGAATGATTAATTGAGTAGTAATATTGTAGTAATTAATATATATATTTTATTTTATATGTAGGTCAGTATGTGGCGTGTTTGCCGTCAAGACCATACAGTACGTGCATTCCACTGAAATGTAAGTTTGTGCATTTTTACCGCTACATATGTTTATTATAAACACTGAACATGGGAGTTTGTGTGTGCTATTATTTTTTACAGACTCTTAGCTTCTACAATGTTTAAATGTATATCCCCAGAACAATATCTAATAGATATTGTAAAAGTATCTTTAATGTTTTTACATTTATCATTGGTGTTTTTACATGCTCCTTTTCACAGAAGCATTGTGTTTGTTGCTGCATGCGATTCAACCAACAGGAGAAGATCTTAACGCTATCCACACTTGTACGATGAGAATGTGAGTTTCACAACTTCTGCCAGTCACAAATCCAGAGACCAAGATCCTCTGTCTTAGTTAAAAAAAATCATATTAGGGTTTAGTTAGCCTACATTTTCTTGTTTTCTATTCTCAAAGTTAATTTACATGCCAGCTAAGGATCTGTTATTTTACAATAAGTTTAGTAAAATCATGGCAAGCAGTAAAATTGTGAACAAAGTAATTTTTTTTTTAAATAAACTTTTACAACATTTTTTGTAATATTGTCCTTATACTCTGTGCTCGTTTTTGTGATTGTTTTAGAACTTCCGATTCAGTTAGTTCATTCAGAAATGACTAGAAATAACAAATTGCAGAGAACATTTTATTTTTAATATTATCACTATTGAGTGAAATTTTCCTATGCATGTATGTTTTGATCATTTGTACCATTAATCTTTTTGGAAAATTACATATATATATATATATATATATATGGTTTATATATATATATTGTTTAAACTTGTTAACCTTCAGTAAATATGGAATGATACTTTATAAAACAATGCACTAGATGTAACGAGCATGTAATTATTGCATTTTAACTGTGTTTAATGCAGGATTTCTGTGATCTCCAGTTGAAGACATCAGATTTTTGACTGGACAGATGTACCAACACCAAACTGAACTATGCTTTTTCATGTCCTATGAAGGTATTAATATGGCAAAAACGAGCACCCATAATAGTGGAATATGTAGTAGCAACAAATAGTCAGTAACACTTTCCATGAAAATCTATATTTGTAATGCATTATGCATATATTTAAAAAAATATGAATATAGGTATTTTATGCTAAACACATAACCTTCTAATTATAAAACTTTCATATTTGTTCTTACTACTTTTTCAATATTTATGGTCTGCATGTTTTTTTTTTTTTTCTTTTCTTTTGTGGACTTTTCCATTCAAAACGTCTTTTACTTTACCTTATGCAGACAAAAAAAAAGACTTTATATTTCTTCAATTGATGAATAGGATTAACCTATAATAAAAAATAAAACCATATCAAAACCAAAACTAGTTAAATCTTATTATAATAATACATTAAAGAAGAATAAACTGAAATTTAAGAATAAACAAATAAAAAACTTCAAATAAGAAACCGTTTTTTATTTATTTTTGTTTTTGCTAATACTTCACATTTTAAGCCTTCCACATACAGTAGGCTACTTGTCTGTCCTGTGTGGTTTAACAGGGATCATATACCTCTTTGAAACGTAGCCACGGCCGGAGCAAGCTGCATTGGCGCTCCAGGCAAACGACTTGTTGCGGACGCCGCCCTCACTATTTTGCCTATTCTGCCAAGGTCACCTCTATGGACGTGCCAGCACTGAACGTGCCTTATTGTAAAACTGTAGATAATTAAATGCACAATAATATATTTACTTTCGTGTAGCTATGGTAGTGGATTTGTTAAATTTTCTATACTGGCTGCAGAAAAAAAAGAATATTAGTTTACTTATTCAAAGTGTCTAAAAAATTGCTTTGCAGTCAGCCTGGGCTACAGTGCCCTAAATATATTCATACCCCTTGAACCTTTCCACATGTTGTCATATTAACAGTTAAATAAACCATCTGAACCATCTGATAAAGAACAAGCTTCCTCCATTTAGGCTTTTTACTTTACTTTAACTCTTTCCTTTACTCCTTTTTTTCGTGGATAAGGAGCGGTGTTGTACGCACTCAATTGAAGACATCCATTATAGCTTACATAATTCGTTTTGTTTGTTAAGCTCTAATATTTGTTTCAAAACTATTTCTAAATTCAATTCTAATTTCCAGCAAACGAACAAGTGAACAATTATAAGGAAGTGTGCTCAAAAAATGAGTTTTATCCAAACACACGTCCTATGGTCCAAAACCCGACAGGTGGACAAATCTAAGCTTTGTTTTAATAAAACGTATATGAATATGCATATAAATAATACTACTACTACTAATAATAACATTATACAAAAGCAAGTAAATAAACTGAAAAAAGACCCAGAAATGAAAGCATGGTGACAGTGTTTTTTATGTAATAGTTGTAATATTTTATTCCTTTAATTGTTTTCATATAAAGATATTTGCATAGTGCTCTAAATCCTATAAAACAATGTGTATGCAATTAAGGCGCACAACAAACAGACTTTGCTGGACTTTAGATCTGCTCTCAGCTGGTCTATTGAAAAGTCTTTTTTTAGTTCCTCAAAATAGCAGGGCGTTAACAACACCTTAACACGCTACCTTTTTAGAATGGCACACCTATGAGTCCACAAAGCAGTGTAAATGGATTTGCTATTTAAACAACATGGCACAAATCTTGAAAATTACTGTTGAGCTTGGGTGCATTTCCCAAATAACATCATAACTCGCGGCTGAACTATCATAGTATGCATAGTTTAGAAAAAGAATAATGTAACAACGAGTGTTTCCCAAAACGCATAGTTTCTCTGTTGCAGATCCATGGCTTGAACCATGTTAGTTATAACGTAAAACCCCCATAATGATGCTCTAAACTGGGTGAAGTAACTGCTTCTTTAGAGAAGAACCCATAACTTCTTTGTGAAAATTATTGTTTTACACGCACACACATTTAAAATACAATCTAATATTAGATTTGGTAAAAACATGCACTAGCTTTCCATATTAACTGAAATATATGTAAATGGCACATACACATATAGGGTTTGCTTTACTAATATTATTGAGAAGTTGAACATTAGTTATATTCTATTCCAAAACATATCACGCACAAAAGCTAACACGTTTTCTAATATCATATAAATCATAAAAACAAATAATGAGTCTATTTATTATGAAATGAAATGTAATATTTATTATTTATTAGAAATGACAAAAATCAGACTTTAATAATTTTATTGATGATGATGACGATGATGATTATGATTATGATGATAATTCTTATTAATATTAATAAGTAGGATTTTGTTTATTTATTTTTTTGAAAAGTCTACTTTTACAATTTAACACGTTAACCACTGCAGAAATTTCTAACCAGCAGGCTCATGTCATCTAGAAACTCAATAAACAACCTACTATAAATGAAAATAATTAACTTATGCTTTTTGTTTTCACAAGCTTTGAAAACGTAACATAAATTCCGCTTTTAAATAGGTCACCTTTAGCTTTCGCCATGAGGCTGTGTTCAAAATGACATCAATGTTTTCAAAGTGCACAGCGAAGACAGCACAAATGTAAACATGAAGATCGCTAAAACTGAACTGTAAGAATAGGTTGAAAGCAAATTACACCTTAGAGAGATGCCCTTAATGCTTTTTTACTTTTCATAATGGCAACTTTGAATGTTAGAGTGTTCTAAATAAATAGGACATATGGCGGAAAAGTGGCAATAGAACACAGCCAGTAACTGTGTCGCGAACTAGCTCCAGAGCTGTAGTTGCGTGTCCTCAAGTTTGCGACGCTGTTTGCGAGTGTTCGTTGGAGCGGCGGATTTGGGAAACGGCTAATAAACAAACTATGGTTGTAACGACGGAACTTGAGTCTAGTTGGCTTACGATGGTTTTGGGAAACGCACCCCAGGTTTGTTCAATAAAATATAATCTAGCCTAAATAAAATTAAGTGAAATATTTAGTTTCAAAGAAGCCTATATTCAACTGTTTGTTACTGTTTGTGACAAAACCATCCGTTGCACATGTCAATTACAATTTAATTCGTTTAATCAAGTATGTTTTTTACATCTCCCACCATGCAAGTACATACACACTTTAAAACACACAAACACACACTATTTATTCTCATTCTTTCTTGCTTTATTAATATATCGTAGTGTATACCGTTTAATAATCAATTTACATTATTTATAAATAAATAAATAAATAAATAAATAAATAAATAAATAAATAAATAAATAAATAAATAAATAAGCGGTGTTAATTTGCGCCCTGTCATGGTTGGTATGCACATGTGCAATGTACAGTCGTAAGGCTGCAGGCGACACTGCTCTCATCTTTCCAACAGAGTTTGTTCTAATAAAAGCCTGTTCTGCTTATTTAAATGTGTCATTAATAGTAACAGTTTAATATGGCTTCTCTGAAACTGTAAATATGTAACTTTAATTTAGGCTAGATTATTATTTAATTTACCAAACCAACATAATCTTACGGCAACTAGTGTTTTGGCGCTGAAGCATAGGACTATAGCAGACTTGTTTTGAAGCACTTCACTTCAAAGGTTATACGTTATTCTTTTTTATCTAGTAGTTAACTGACCAATGGAAAATACATAAAAATTAAGATACAAATTTTAGCTAACGAAATTTATTTAAAAAATATATATTTTTCCAAGAAACATATGAATTATATTTTCTAGCTAAATTATTAACTGTGCGGGGATGATTTGTTCTGTTCTGTGGAAAATAAGGATTTAATTAATTATTCTGCTTCACACTGCTTCACAGTTGCTGATGTTCTTTCATTTCATGTTCAGGCAAGGGAATAGCAACATTAGCAGAAAAGT